CCGCGTCCCCCGCTGCCTCCTGTGTCTCCCAGACACCTCACGCTGAACGTGCCCGGAGCGGAACGCCTCCCCTCACGTCCCTCTCTAGGTAAACAGGTCCACTGTCTGTCCAGCTGCCCAGGCCAAAAACCTAGATCGCCACCAGATTCCTTCCCCGGCCTCACCGTCTACACGCGCCACGTCAGCAAACACACGGATTTCCGCTTAGAGCCCTCGGAGTCCGACTACAAACACCTGAGCTCCCGCCTCCAGCGCCCACCTGTTCTCCTGCGATGAATACCTAAGTGACCTTCCTGTCTCCTAGCTGGCCCTCCTTCTCAATGCTTCCGCCATAGCAACGTCTCGAAAATGCAGATCTGATTATGTCATCGTGTCATCTGCTGCCTAAAATCCTATAATGACTCTCCATACTCTACGGGATAAAGTCCAAATTCCTCACTTTTGCCCACAAAGTCCTCCATGATCTCCCAACCTCACCCCATCCCTCCCTCTCACACTCTACGCCCAACTCGTCCCACAGGATTCGGCACGAGCGCCACCTTCTCTAAGCTGCCCTCCGTGAGCCCACTGGGCGAGGTGCCCTTTCCATGTGCTCCCGTGACACCCTCTCTCGCAGCCTGTATCACCCCGGATTAGAATAATGGGCTGACCCGCGTGTTCCCTGACCACACTGTAATCTCCCCAAGGGCTGGGCCCAGCTATCATTCCTCATTGTATCCCCGGTTCTTGGCACATAGCGAGTGTTTAATTAAGGTTGTTGAATGAGTAAACGATGGATAGGGAAGGTCGGCAGGCAACGAGAATTGTACATTGAGGACCAGGTCGTCACTGTAAGGTTCTTAATCAGAAGAGCGACATAATGAAAATAGTGCTTAAGGAAGAATATTGCGATAATAGATAATATGGTATAGATTGGTCACCGGATAGTGAGACGCTGGTCAAATCACTAAACCTCAGAAGTATCAGCTTCTTCATCAGAAAAAAATTGGAATTATTGTTACCCAGGGTGCCTATTTCATAAGGCCGTTGCAAGCATAAAATGAAATCGAATTCGTGAAAACTTTCTGAAGCCATAAATCACTCTACGAACCTAAGAAATTACAATTACGTAAATAACAGGAAGCGTGGCCGCCAGCGTCTGGGAAACCCCAAAGCAGCAGGGCATGGTGGGAAAGAGCGTGGGCCGAAGGCCGGCTCCTCCCCTTCGCTGCCATGGGACTGGGCAGGTCACAGGGCCTCGCTGGGCCTCCCTTCCCTCATCTCCAAAATGCGAATGCCATCTATGGTCATGCCACCCTGAACGAGCCCCGTCTCGTCTGATCTCGGAAGCTAAGCAGGGTCAGGCCTGGTGAATACTTGGATGGGAGACCACCTAGGAAGACCAGGTGCTGTGGTCATAAAAAATAAAAAATAAGGGATTGTAAGCTGACAAGGTCCTTGCAATGTGTGAGGTCAACCAAGGGTTGCCTCGCCTAAAATAAATAAAATAAATTTAAAAAAATATATGAATCCCACACTCGTGGGTTATTGCGTTCTTTTTGTAGCTAGTGTAGAGCATGACGAACAGAAGCCATTCAACAAATTCTAGTTTGCCTCGCCTCCCGAGCAACCACACAGCACTCACCCATGAGATATCACCCAAGGCCTGGACAAGGACTCAGCCCATCGCAAACGAGGCGAGTGAAGGAGGGCCCTTAATGACACTTGAACTGGTGCTTAAGTAGAATGAAGGGTGGGAAACTTTGCAACCCAGTGAGAACCACAAGGCTAATGGGCCAAAGGATGCCTTAGATAAACGAATTGCGTCAAAGATTCACAATGGTGGGAGGAGGCAACAAAATTCTAAGCAGGCAAGGCCATGGGAGGGGATGGGCTAGACGCTAGGGTCTGAGAGTGAGGTCAGGGGGGAAGAATCTCCCTCACATCCCTCTCTCCCTTGTGCTCATGAGTCACCCCGTGGCCTCAGGCAAGTCCTTCCAACCTCTGCGCCATCTCGGCCTCAGGAAAATGAGCAATGTGATGATATAGGCACAGCAGAAAAAATGAAATGGCCTAGGCTCCCAACAGCAAAAAGTCACTGAGGCCAGACCCCGCTGATCTGAGACAGACTGGCTACGCCGCCTGTCCCGGCTTTCGGGGGCACGTGGCGAGGAAGGGCCAATGGAAGGACAAACATCCAGCGAACATGTCTGAATCCAGCAAGTGGGCGTTTGGCAAGGTTTGCTAAAGAGACTTCGCCTGGATTCTGATGTGGAGCAGGAAAGAGATTTCATGCAAAATACAAAATAATCAGTCTAAACACCCCACAGTAACAGGAGCTGATTATCAACGGACAGATAAAGGACAGAGAGCGTAAATCTCACGACATTCACAGTGCGCTCAAGGGGCGACGTCCCGGACTCGGTGAAAGCCGGAGCCCCGCCGGGGCCCTGGGCAGTTCCGCACACAGGAGTCGCTCCCTGACCTCGCTTCTCTCTTCCTGGTCTGTCCCCAGGAGCTGGCTTTCAGATGCCAAGGGAAGGAAGAGAACATGGAGAACCTGAAAAATTCTCTTCTCGCTTCATTCCCTATAAGCTCAAAGCACTTTACAACTTATGATCTCATGTGCCCCCCACCCCCACCCCTGCCCCCAGGAGGGAGGGAGGAAGCAGGAGTCATTATCCTAATTTCATAGATAGAGACCGGAGCCCAGAGAGTGTCAGTGACTCACTAAGGTCACAGGGAACAACACCATTCTGAGCTGGGCCCGCCACAGGGATCCGCCAGCTCCCAGCTGACCACGTGGCCAGCCAGAACCTACTTCAAAATTAACAGCTCCTAAAGAAGACACATTCCCACCCCTGGACACCACTATGAAATTTCTGGCAGAAATTCGCTATGAAGTTGAGAAACTTTTATTATGTTGAAAATTATTGGTACATATGATCTCAAGATGTTGTTCAGAATATAACCTACTGGATCTATACTTCTAAGACCCATATAGTAACTTATGTCCCAACACATGCCCTATAATCAAAACTCACTTATTATCTTACAGTTGACATAATGGGACAGGGCAGAAAGAAAAGTCTGCTTCGGGAGATATCTGCTTCATTTCTTGGCCTTGGGTACAAGCTCATGCCCAGCAGGGAAGATAGTTCACCCCAAATTTGCTGTCCAAGAGCATTTTGAGGGAGCATTTCCTTTCTCCCCATGACTCCACAGGGCAAACGAAGCCCCATGGGGAGCCACAGAACTAAGGAAGGGGACGGTGTGTCGTCTGTCTGAACGAGACATGCTGGAGCCTCCCTCAGCTCAAACTTCCCGAGGGGGTACCCGTGGGCTGTCACTGTCAGGAGACAGCACACGGGGGAAATGGCATCAGTGGCCCGCGAGTTTCAGACATGGTTTACACCAGAGTCCCTTTTGGAAACTCACGACGCACGTGACGCTTTGAGGAATCCAGCCGCATGAGAATAATAAAAAATAAATATTTCAATTGGCTTAACCCCGAGTTCCCAAATCCAGTTAGTGTTAGAGCCTCAAGGAACACCTAGGAAGATCCCACGAGATTCGTGGTTTAACTAGAAACCCTACCTGGAGAAGACGAGCACATCAGAATGGCATCTCCAAGCAAAAGAGAGCGGTCTACAAAGCATGATGGGAACCACCCACTGCCCGGGTCCTTCTCCAAATCCCTGGAACTTGGACCCACTCATTCAAGACCAGCTTCTGGAGAGTAGAGGAAAAGATGGTGCCTAAAAAAGGGAGAACCGGAGGACGAAGTTGGAGGTATCGCAGGCCTTGGGTTCGAACTATATCCCAAAGCTATAGCAATAAAAACAGCACGACACTTGCACCAAAACAGACACATCGATCGGGGAACAGAATAGCGATCCCGTGCTTGTCATCCGTTACTCTAACAAAGGAGACAAGAATATACAATGCGGAAAAGATGGTCTCTTCGATAAATGATGCCAGGAAAATTGGACAGCAGCCACATGCGTAAAACGGGACCACTTCCTTACACCGCATACAAGATAAACTCAAAATGGATCGAAGACTTCGATGTAAGACCAGAAGCCGTAAAATTCTGATCAGAAAACATAGGTAGGGAACTGTTGGACATTGGTCTAAGAGATTTTTTTTTGGATGTCTCCCCAGGCAAGAACGATCAATGCAAAAATAAACAAATGGGACTGTGTTGAACTAAAAAGCTTTTGCACAGCAAAAGAAACCATCGACCAGACCAAAAGGCGATGCAGTGAGCGGGAGGAGATATTCACAAAGGATATATCCATGCGAGTGAATGTCCAAAATATAGAAAGAGCTATGCCGTAGCCCTGAAACTCAGACAATGCCGTCTGTCAACTATACTTGAATATTTCTCTCAATGTGAATTTAAAAGAAAGGGGGGGGACCACAGAAGGGGAACAGGAGGGACTGAGCTCTTCGACTTCTGATTCACCCCGTTCTGGACCCCAAAACAGAATTCCCCATGGAAGACGGAACAAATTTCAAACCACATGTCCTACTACCTCCTAGACCCCCAGCATATTATTTCATTAGCTCTAAATTTCCAAGGCTCCCACATAAACAGATTGGCCCAAAGGAGAAGACCACATCTGGCCAGTCCAGCAAGTCGGAACCCCAGCTCGACCACTGGGTGACCTCTGGCAAGTGGCCCCATTTTTATGTCCGGAAAGCAGAGGCGGCAGCCCTTGTGTCGGGCTAGGCTGGATGAGGAGCAGCTAATAAATAAGATCATAAAATCCTCTGCAATACATTCAGTGTCCTGTAAAAGTTTAATGACTATAATCAAGCTGTGGCTAGAAGTCTGCCAGGTCCGCACATGACCTTTGGCCGTCACTGCGCTGGTGTCTGATAACAGGATGCTCTAGGCCCCCAAGTGCCTTGGCGAGGGTCGCAAACTGGCCAAGTCTGGTTTCTTCGCACAAAGTCGTCAGGGGAAAAGCATTGCTGAGGTCAGTTTCCCTTCGTGTAATCATTACCGTGTCTCCTGAGAGACGGGATCCTCCCAGCCTCTCAGAGATGACGGGCTTCTGTGTACCTGCGGTTGAGGGGACCACCTTCAGGAAACCGACACCTGCTGCAGAGCGTGTTCGTCCCAACCACTTCAGAGGGGGCAGAAGCCTTACCTGGGCTATGATGGGGGGTGGTAGAGGGAGGGTCTTTTAATCGGTCCTTTCCATATCGAAGCAGCCACCTCCACACAGGCAGCGGAGGCTTAGAGGAGGAGTTCTGAATGATGGTCGGGAGTGTGAGTTTTAAAGTCG